GCGGACTATCAGCATGCACGGACAGGACTGTGTGCGAGAAATCGTGTCTGTACTCACTTCCTTTGTTCCTCGCACTCGTCCGATATAAGCCCGTTCCAGTGGGTTTGTTCCTCGACCACTCCTTGACCGATCCTCTGCTGTGATTCCTTGATCGATCATCGGCTTCGTTCGCTCAGGCGGTGGTTCAGTGGTAGAATGCTCGCCTGCCACGCGGGCGGCCCGGGTTCGATTCCCGGCCGATGCACCATATGTCGGTGGTTCGTAGGCGTGGACCTCCTGACGCGATAGAAGTTTATTGGGCGTACCCTATGTACAAGCAGACCACAAGAAGAAACCGACTGAATCTCAGAGCGATCCACCGTCCTTATATACGGTGGATTATGGGCGGGACAATAGCTATGATTACATTCTACAGTACAGATCAGCTGATAGATAACGTTAAGCTCAGCTTACAAGATGAGTCATCCAGAATCTGCCAATACAATATGAATATGAAATACATACGAAATAATCACAACCAATAATCAACCATGCTTAAATCATACAAATACTAAATGTTATCATAGAGAGTATTCTCTATAATGGTCAGTAGGTAGAAGAATAATTATTAACAACTTTATCGGGGGGACAAAACACATAACTGTTTTGATATCGTTTTATTAACTCGTACGGTATGTACTCCCCTTTATTTTGGATGTTATCTTTGTTAACATGGGCTTTATTTTATCATGGTAACATGTGTGTAGATATTGTTGCAGAAGATCTACTTGTTGCGTGTTAGCCTTATACTTGTTTTTGAAATAAGAAATAGCTTTGTTAACTGTGTCTTCATATATTTGTTTGACTTCTGGTCTGGTTATGCCATTGTCCAATCTATATCTAGTTCCTTTGCTCATAATTCTTTTGAGCTTCTCTTCTTTTATTATGTTCAGATCTCCTGTTACAATGTGTCCATGTTTATCATTTACATATTCTTGTACTGTGTCCTCAATACAATGCAGTTTCTATTGATTATATCTCCTAATTCTTCGTTGGTGAAATCTTTTAATACCTTGTTATAATTGTACCAGGTTTGGTCAATGTGTCATTGACAGTACCAGCGGCAAGGAGCGGGTGGCGCTCCTTGCCGCAGGTACTGTCAATGAATCCTATTGAAGTTCGTTACAATCTGCCACGCTCTCATTCTCAATATGTTCCTTCTATCGAGCCTAAAACCGAACGCATGCACATCCCAAAAAAGATTCGCCGTTTGAGAGCTAAAGTTAGCCACATTCATTCGAATCTAAGTCGTTACGGCTATCTCAAATATCAAATATGCCCAAAAACTCAAACGTGCTGTCACTCGTTTAGCTATTATCGAGGAAGAAAAGCTGGCAAGAAAGAAAAATGTGCGGCGTTTCTTTAAGCTATTGCAATAATAAGCTCAACTTGGCCAATGAAATCCCGGAACTCTCTCTTGAAGGCAATGCGGTAGCTAGTAGTGATTATGATAAAGCCGAAGCGTTTGCTGAGTTTTTCCGTTCTGTTTATAAAGAGCCAAGCAATTACCACGGCGTGTCTACAATACCTACCTGCACCTTAGACTTGGGTAGGCATCTCCTCGGAGTTAGTTTATGAAATGTTGCTCAAGCTTCACATCGGAAGCTCTACCTCTCCCGACTAACAAGGGAAGGATACCAAGTCGAAGTGGCCATCCGTAATGAAACCTATACTCAGAGATGTGTTTTCGGACGCTGATCTCGAATCCACTCTCCAAATTTGCGAAACGATTCTCTGAAAAGTGTTACGGAGGTTGTTTCGAATGAAAGCCCACTGTAAGAGACTCCGGCAGAGCTCGGCTTCCAGCGGCGGCTTGGCCGAGTGGTAGTGTTGGCGGCTTCCAGTGGTAAGACCATGGATGGGATCTTGCTGGGCATGAGTTTTTTGCTTTTTGTAATTGTGTCTAACTTAAAGGCACGAGTCAGGCTCAGTGGACCAAACCAATCCCTTTGTCGTCTTTGTGCATGGCTACGCACCCACAGAGACGTTACCATGCTCAGAATCCCAAACGGCGCCGTAATAAGGCCTCCAGGGCACGTATTAAGCGCTATCGCCGCCTGGCCCCGCTACGACCGCCCACCTCGGGATGTGGTGCGTGGCTGGTGTGAAATCAGCTAGGTTGATTGCCGTATCAACCGATAGAACGACTGACATCTCCAGAAAACTTGTTTGTACGTGCCTCTTTCCCAAGCCAGCCTCCTTCACTGCTAGTGGGAAAGAGGGTTTTGTTAACGGCCTTGTCGACGGTTTTTCTCAGTTTTTTCTCCACTGTCGTTCCACTTCGCATCTCTATACTCAGTTTCAATCGCCATAATACCCCCTTATTGAGCCCGACTTTTGCCTTTAAATAAAAAAATTGTTCAGTGTTGATATTTTCAGTGCGTCCAAAGCTAACGCATGTTCAGAGGGGTTTGTTTAACATTACGCATTCCACTTTTTTCGTAATGTTTCGACCACTGCCGGGTGTTTCTACGCCACGGAAGTGACGTATATCCGACGATGGGCTAAACAAATGGGAGATGCTTGCTCAACGGACCAAACTATCTTTGAAGGCTTAATTCTAGAAAGCTGACATTTGGACCCAATTTCGAAACTCGGTCTACAATGAGTCGTAGGTGTTATCCCTAGCCCCAGCCACTACCCTCCTGCTCCTCCTGGGCAGCGAGCGTGTACATGAAAAAATATCATATTAATCTTCGGATGGCACGAGCAAGTAGAGCAGGCACAATAATGACTGAAAGTTTAATTCAATCCCACGATCAGGCTCTGACAGTGGGTTGATGGATAGATGACTGCCCACATTTTCGACTTCAAGTCAAAATTTTAGATTTGGACCAAATGTTGTTGAAAGGGGTGTTTCGACGCGCTGAACACGAATATCGCATCTGCTTGGCACGAAATTGCCTTACGCGTGCGCTACGGGTGTCAGAGGCGGTCACTTGCAAATGACGCGCACAGTGCTCGAAGCTCTTCTTGAGCAACGTTCACAAGAAAAGCAAAAGTGAGAACTCGCCAAGAAGTCGATCTCACGACCTCTTGTTCGTCGGCCCGGGCCGCTGCCACTGCACTATCTCGCTTCATAACTACGTTCAGAGAATCGTTTCGCAGATTTGGAGAGCAGATTCGAGATCAGCGTCCAAAAACACATCTAGTGGTGTATGTCTCGTTACAAATGGCCACTTCGACCTGGTATCCTTCCCTTGTAAGTTTCTTATGTCTTTCTTGAGAAACCTTCGCTCTCGCGATACCACTCACATTACTTTTCAACAAGTGTTTGCTATTTGGTGAATGCCCTGATATCTGGAGGGTTGGGCTTGTTAAACCAGCGCATAAGAAAGGTCCTAGGAATTTACAGGGTGGGGCAAAATTACTGGTGCACTAAATTTTCAATGGCATTTTGACAATAATTCTCACAAATCAATTCTAATTATCAATATTATTTACTACAAACATGACAATACAAAAAATGTTAATGCTTCTCAAAATGATCTCCTTTAGCCTTCACACAGTCCTTCAGACGTTCGACAAATGCTTCGCATGTGGCACGCAGGTACTGGTCATCGATTTCGTCCCAAGATTTTGAAAGCGCCGCCTTAAGAGAGTCCAAGTTTGGATGTCTGGTAGAACACGCTTTGCTCTCCAAGATGGACCACACAGAGTAATCCATCGGGTTTAGATCAGGAGAACTGGAGGGCCATTCGTCGTGTCTGATGAAGTCGGGCAGGTGCTCGGCGCACCACTCCTGGACCATCTTTGCTTTGTGTGCTGGAGCAGAATCCTGCTGGAAGCACCAGTAGGCTTCTCCGAAATGGGAGTTGGCCCACGGCTTGAGAACTTCCTCCAGGATATTTTTGTAAACCTCTGCGTTGATTTTTACACCAGCTTCAACGAAAACAAGTGGGGTCTTCCCCGTAGAGGTGACTCCTCCCCAAACAAGAATGGACTGGGGGTGTTTCGCTCTTTCCTGGAGTCTTGCCTTGGTGGTAGCATCAGCAAGTGATCCTGCAATAATCCTCTCATTTTGGGAGTTGAAGGCTGGATTCAGAGTAAAAATCTTTTCATCACTGAAAACGATGTCTCGGGCGCGTGCCACCGTGAATCGCTGCAGCAACTTCTTGCATCTCTCCAATCTCCTTTTCTTCATAATGTCCGTCAGGAGTTGGCATTTCTGCAAGCGATAGGGGAACTTCCTTAGCTTACTTCTGACAATCCTCCTCATTGACCTCGCGCTTACTCCAACGTCTTTCGCCATCTGGCGCATCGATCTCCTGGCGTTCCTTCGAATTCTTTCTCTGACGAGCCTCACATTTCTCCGACTCGTAGCTGTTGTGGGACGTCCTCTTCCTTCCCTGTCCTCTTCGGTCTTCAGTTCTTTATAGCGTCGTACTGTATTCTGAACCGTCCTTCGAGGTACGGAAAGGATCTTCACAATTTCTCTTGTTTGCTTGCCGTCGTTGTGAAGTTTGATGATCGCGCTCCGTAGGTCAGAACGACGGACCATTTTGTATTCGAGTACGTAGGAATTACGCAACCTCCAGGCAACATATCACAAGCGAGTGAAACAGGAAAATCTCCAAGAAGTGTTAAAAAATTCAAAACGTATAGGTGCACCAGTAATTTTGCCCCACCCTGTAGTTGAGAACTATCGCCCCATTTGTCTTACCTGCTGCACTAGCAAGGTAATGGAAAGAATCATTTGTTCGCGTATCATGGATCACTTAGAAGACAATAAACTACTGAATACTGCACAGCACGGATTCCTCAGTAAACGCTCTACGACTACTGCCCTCCTCTCCACTCTCCCACGGTGGCACAGAGAGCTGGATAAAGGCAGTTATGTATCAGTATGCTTTGTCGATTTCAAAAAAGCCTTCGATTCTATCCCTATTTCATTACTTCTCAGTAAAACCGGAAGTTTTGGCATAAGTGGCTGTTTGCTGCGCTTTATCCGCTCCTTCTTGAGTCAAAGAAAGCAGTCGGTTGTTATCAATCATGCACGGTCAGACCTGTATCCCACCACCAGCGGTGTGCCTCAGGGTAGTTGTATCGGTCCTCTCATGTTCCTGTTATACGTAAACGACTTGCCATCTGTCCTCCCCCCAGGTGTCTCTATAACTATGTATGCTGATGACTCTAAGCTATTCACCATCAATAATGCTGAGCTTCTTCAGGACGGTCTTAACGCCCTCGATAGCTGGGCGCAAAGGATGGGGACTTGATATATCGAGAGAGAAAACTACTGTTATGTGCCTTGGGAAAAGTCATCCCGATGTCAAATTTGAACTTAGTGGCTCCATCCTTAAGCAGTCACACTGCATTCGCGATCTCGGTGTCACTTATAGTGACAGCCTTGATTTCGAATGCTTTATATCTGATATTGTGGCTAAGGCCTCTTCTCAGATCCAACTTTATCTTGCGTGCACCCGTGAACCTGTTCTCCTGTTCAAGCTCTTCGCTCTTGACGTGAGGCCACTTCTTGAATACTGCTCCCTCACGTCCCCTTATAAGGCTTGTCATGGACTCCGTTGTTCATGATATCGTCCTCTTTTCCCCGCCTCCCGCCTCGCAGGGTATTTAAGTGCGTGGTAGCGTTCAGCACGGGGGCTTGGGCCTCCTCGCAGTTGACTCACTCTTGGCCAATGGAATCGTCGAGCGATTTCGACGCCCCCCGGGGGATGATCTAGTCGCTGATTTATCACCGCCCGGTCCCTCCACATAAAGGAAAAGGATCGGGCCGCTAAGACCGGCGGACTCGCAGAGGCAAGCTGCCCCCATCCAGAGATGGAGCAGGTGAAGTCAAGATCAAAACTCAAGTTTCAAGTCAAACAAATCAAGAACAACAATTGTATTGGGAGTAGGGACTTAGAATCATTCTAATTATGAAAGCTTTGGAAATAATAAATATACTTGCTGCAAAGTGTGAGTTAACCAATATGTGCCACCAAACACTTATATCTGGGGAGTGATGCCCTCAGAACAAGGTACATCGGCCGAATGGCCACATTTGGCCTTAAAACTCAAGATCACTCAAAAGATCAAGGTAAAAGTTGAATTTCCATCGAGCACTCAAGAAGTCCAAAGTGTGATTCGTTTGAAGAGACTTCACATTCAGCACACATCAAATCAGCTTGGGAATAGCTAAACGAATAGTAGAACCTTGTTTTCCAAAGAATTGCGAGATAAATGCAAAAAATTCAAGTGCTCATCGCTTTCTGGAACTACAAAACGGCATTCCAGGACCTATGCACACCACATTTTCAAATGATGCGCTTTTTAGGGCCCAAATCGCGCATCTAGAATAGTACACTAGCTTGGAATGCCTGGGATTCCATCGATCTCACTTTTTTCTCTTTCACTTCTTAATTCGTTTATTATCGAGTTTTAAATGTTCAACTCAATCAAATTCAAAACAACACACTCAACCTTCGACCCATTAGGTTTGTTAGTACCTTTGTTATCACCAGCCAAAATCTTCCTTAAAGACTTGTGGAAGCTCAATTATAAATGGGACGAAACATTGCCCCCCGATCTCAATAGTGAATGGCAATATATTTGCGAGCAAGCGGCTGGGTTTGAAGCGTCGGTCCCCCGAGCTGTTACAGGCTTCGCAACGAGCAAGCGGTATGAGGTCTTCACATTTGTCGATGCCTCAATACGATCGTTCGCGGCCGCAAGTTATTTGCGCACGATTGATGAGGATGGGACAATTAAAAGCAGCCTGCTGATGGCAAGACAGCAGTTGGCACCGATCGATAAGAACGCGAAAACAGTAACCATACCACGGTTGGAACTCTTAGCGATCCTAATTAGAGTTCGACTGACGAACTTCCTAAAACAGGAATTACACCTACCAATAAAAGAGATCTACGTTTTCAGCGATTCGCAGGTAGCCCTCAACTGGATTCAATCAAATACAAAAGCGGAACATTTGTCGATAATCGTTGCGCGGAAATTCGAAGTAAAATGCAGAGTTGGTCAGACGATGGCATGAGATGTCATTTGCACTACGTACCGTCGAAATGAATCCGTGAATCCGGCGGATTGTGCAACAAAAGGCCTGACCAAAACTCAACTCCCTAACCATATGTGGTGGACGTGTCCTTCCCTTCTTTTCAATGAAAACTCAAAGTGGCCTACTCTACCAGAGTTCGCCTGGATGTCGAATGACACGACAGAGAAGTTTTAATCCGAAGAGCCTCATTATATGGTTCTGGCAACGAACTACGACACAGAGCTCCGACCAATTCTCTTTTGAAACGAATATTCAACATTTCAAAAATACAAAAGGGTTCTCTCGATAGTCTTAGAGGCTCTCAAATGCATGATTTACAACAAAATTTCAAATAAAAATAGAGAAATTTAAAGGAAAGCATTCCTGAAATTGAGCTCATAACGGAGAACAGGACCTTGAAGTCACTAAAACCCATCGACATCTCGATGGCTGAAAGAATACTCATTAGGATAGCGCAGAAGACAATACCTCAAAACGTATCGCGAAATTCGACAATTTACAATTATATACAAATGCGGTTTTATAAGATGTTGTAGAAGAATCCAAGCTAAGCACTTAGCAAAAGAACTCAAGAGCCTATCCATATCCCACAAAATCACAATTCCACTCGTCTACTTGTTGTGGAAAGACACAATCGCTGTGGACACCAAGGCGTCAACGGAATACTGGCAAATGTACGGCTCAATTATTGGATTCCCGAAGGACGTCAAACAGTCAAGAGATGTTTGAAATCGTGTCTGATTTGCAAAAGGTGAACTCAAAACCGTTCTTCTATCCAACTCCCCGCCACTGCCGCAATCACGGACAGAGCCGACGCGCCCTTTCTTACATGTCGGCATCGATCTAGCTGGACCACTTCGCGTGCTTAGCAGCGAAAACAAGGAGCAAAAGTAGTGGAATCCTGCTCGCAATCGTGCATGGTGACGAGAGCTGTTCACTTGGACATTGTCAACAATTTGAGCGCAAAGGAATTTCAATGGGTTACGACGATTTGTTGCACACAGAGGAGAACCAGCGTTCGTAATTTCCGATAAAGCGAAAAATTTCAGTTTGGGATGTGAAATAATTGCAGCTTTGAAAAGTCAAGCAGAAATTCCTACCTGAGAAGTTTAAAATTTCCTTACAAACGAAGAAATACGATGGCAATTTATCACACCTCTTTCCCCATGGAAAGGGGATTCTATGAAAGAGTGATATGGGTGATGAAATCAATTCTCAAACGAACTACACGAAGGAAGTTGGTGCACGAAGGTGAATTTACTACTGTGATGCCAGAATGCGAGGCCATGGTCAACTCTAGACCACTCACATATACGGGTAGTACGGTAGAAGATTCAGCAATCATTCGTCCAATCGACTTCTTGATTCCCTACGCAAGTGTTAATCTTTTACCCTCCACTGGTCAAAATGAGGGATCCTGAGTATATTCTAACTCTTTCAACGAAAGAACAAGTAGTTCAACAATTTCAAAAGCACCTCAATCATTTACAGATCTGTGGAAGTTTTGGACTAGCAACTATTTGTTGGAACTGCGAAATTTCCATCAAATGAGAATAAAACAAAAGAGTTTCACAAGCAAGCAGCCCTATGTCGGCGAAGTCGTTCTAATAATGGAAGAAAACACATCCCGCGAAGATTGGCCTTTAGCTTTAGTTACCAAACTCATCGAAGACCAAGACGGCAATATTAGAACGGTTGAACTCAAGACAGCAAAATCCAAAATTACAAGATCAATAAATATGCTGATATCTGGGGAGTGATGCCCTCAGAACAAGGCTTGCCTCATTGAACAAGTTGAGCAAGTGAAGAAGCGTTTCACGTATAGTATTTTCTGTCAAAAATTAGTATACAGTATCACCTGTATCACCTGTCGTCCCGTTGATCATCGAATTGCTCGAGCGGGCGCCAGCAACGTCTCCATTCGTCCCTGTCGCGTGCAAGAGTTGTCCAGTGGACCCTCCTCGCTCGAGGGACACGAAGTCCTTCATTCCTTTCGTTCAGAGCTTTCGTGAAGAAGTCTGACCATCGGGCCGGCGGTCGTCCAGGTGTTCGTTTGACGTCCCGAGGGATCCAGTCGGTAACCGCTCTGGTCCAACGGTCATCGCAAAATCGCATGACGTGTCCGGCCCACCTTATCTTCGATTCCTTGGCGAAAACGGCAGCGTCCCTGATCTTCGATCGTTGGCGTAGTTCGGCACTCCGGATTCCCCTCTGCACTTGCGTGTATAGGGTTACTCCTAGCATCGTCCTCTCGACAGCGCGTTGGATAACGCTGACCGCATGCTCGTCCTGCCTGCGCAGAGTCCAAGTCTCTGAGGCGTAGGTTAGGGCAGGAAGGACAGCGGAATCGAAGAGGTGGTTCACGGACGTCCAAGCGCTCGTTTCTCCTGCTCAGCTCTGGAGCTAGATCGTTCATCATATTGATTTCCCGACCTAGGTACACGTAGCTGGAGCATTCGGTGATGTTCGTTCCGTTGAGCGTGAATGGGGCATCAGGAACCAATCCGTTTCTCATAAACATCGTCTTCGTTAGGTTCAGCTGTAGACCAACCTTACCACAGGCGCAGTCGAAATCAGCCAGCATTCGCTCCGCTTGCTCGATGTTCGGCGTTATAAGAACGATGTCGTCAGCAAAACGAAGGTGGTGTAGTTGCCGGCCGTCGACCTTCACTCCCATGTCTTCCCATTCCAGTTGACGCATGACGTTCTCGAGAGCGGCGCTGAAGAGTTTGGGCGAGATGGTGTCGCCCTGTCGGACCCCTCTCTTGACGTCGATGATGACCGCTTCTGTCTCCACAGAGTCGAAGGCCTTCTTCAAGTCGATGAACGTGAGACAAAGCGGCATCTTGTACTCTCGTGAAACTTCAATGAGTCTTGTAACCGTGTGGATATGGTCGATCGTGCTCGAACCGCTCGCATGGCTGTCCTTCATCTAGTATTCTGCCGATCCTGTTAAGGATGACTCGAGTGAATAGCTTGTAGATTACAGACAGCAGGCAGATTGGGCGATAGTTGCCAATGTCGTCCAGGTCTCCCTTCTTGTACAGCAACACGGTCCTGCTGGTTTTCCACGGAGTGGGTACCTTGCATTCCGACAGGTAGCGCGTGAAGAGTCGAGCCAGAGTTTTGATGATGACTGGCGGCGCATTCTTCAGATGTTCCGGTTTGACCTGTCGGACGGGTGTTGTACGAGGGCTTCACGACTTGATGCGTGTGGATCGAGAGAGGGAGAACTGAGGGGCCGATGTATTCATCCTCTTGCGGTTGATAAGTAGGCAAATGGACATGGCTATCGAAGAGATCCGAGTAGAAGTCGTGGATGACTTTCTCCATTGCCCTTCGGGATGCAGTGACTGTTCCATCCGGACGTCGGAGGCAGGTCATCTTGGTCTTGTAGCTGGCAAAGCTTCGGCGGGCATTGCGGATGCTCCTCCCAGCCTCTGCTGCTTCAGCTAATACTGCTGCTCTTCGCTCCTTGAGATCTTCCTTTATCGCCTCTCTGCATAGCTTCGCAAGCTCGGACGTGAGTCGGTGATTGCCTGCAGCTCGTGCGGCTCCACGTTGGCGAATCAACTCGAGACTTTCCGTAAACAGGCGTCCTTTGGTGACTTGTAAACTCTCTGCCTTCCTGCCACTCTCGTGAAGGTGTTCAACGAGCCGATGATATTCCTCGTCGATGTTCTCGATAACGGAATCCTCCCATAAGCTGACAAGGAAGCGAAGTGGTCCCAGTTGGTGGTTGTCTTGGGGATTCGCTTCCTGAACTTTGCTGCTCTCAAACGCATCGAGAATTGGAATCTTGCGCGGAGGAGACGATGGTCCGATCCCGTGGAGAACTTCGGAGCAACAGCGACGTCGGTCAGGCAAAACCTTCGATTAAAGATGATGTGTGTAAGGTATTGTCCCCCGGAAAAAAGGATGCGTGTCGGATTCGAGCCTATCCTTTTGCCACAACAGAACAGCCTTCAAAACTCAACGTTTATTTAACAAAAAAAGGAACGCTAGAACTAACGAGCAATGTGTGACTTCTTTGTTGACGAGGAGAAGCGGTTGCGGTGGCGACTGCGGCAACAGTGGCGACGATGGCAACCGATGGCTATGGTGGCGACGATGGCGGAGGTGATGGCGATGACGGTGACGGCGCGGACGGTGACGGCGCGGACGGTGACGGCGCGGACGGTGACGGAGGCGACGGTGATGGAGGCGACGGTGGTGGCGGCGACGGCGGTGGATGCGACGGCGGTGGAGACGAGGCGGTGGAGGCGACGACGGTGGAGGCGTGAGAAGAAGAAGAACTTCTTCTCACCATCTTCGGGCTCTTTTATAGGGAGAAGAGGTCATGGGTTACTGTGATCGGGCGGGTGGTTTCGATCAAACGGCTGCACCGTACGCCTTCGTGGGTGGTCTTGCGGCCGGCCGGCGTCAATATGTTCTACGCTTGGGTGGCCGCTCTCCCATGACCTGCTCTCCCTTCCTCTCTCTCTTCAACATGCCCCCGCGGAGTCGTCGTCCTCGCGACCGCTCGATATCGGGGGCTCGAAGGCCTTGCTGTTCGGTCGCTGGTACGCATGTTCGTGCGCTCACTTGGTTATGGATCAAGAAGGGTGAGACTCGGGACTCCTGCTCATAGAATCTTGCCTCATCCGAATCGCGTGTGGTTATCCCTGATTCCTCGCTCCAATTTTTGCCAATGTTCAAGATATTCACTGCTTGGAAATACTTCTTCGCTCCGATTCAATTGAAGCTGTTAGAGGCGGCCAAGCTGTTACAATCTTCCCACCGCTTTCCAAATGTTTCTTCGCAATTTCCAAGATGTTCAACATGACTTGGTGGTTTCTTCTTTTTCGATTTGGGAGTGGACTATGACAGGTTGAATCGTGTTCACTATCCAGTGCTTTTTTGAGCTTTGGGTGGATGTGCGCTGGGTGTGGTTGTCTCTTTCGGCTCGCGCTCCATAGTAGGCCGTCTCTGGTGCTGCAACCGACGGGTCTCCTGTGGGCTTCTGGACGTCTCTCTGTCTTCTGCAATTCCTTCTTCAGTTCCTCGAAGGCATACTTGTAGAAGTCTATGATGCAATTCTTCTCGATCGGCTCATGTTTGGAGATGCTTTTTGTGGTACAAATGAATTCAGTCCATTCAGTGCAGACCGAGGTAGGCTACTTTCACTCTTGGAAAGCTTCTGTGTCAGTGACCTGCGTTTTTTGTATGCTCCACTTTTTGCGCCATGCTCAGTTCCTTTCTTATGAAGATTGACGTGATTCTCCGCGCTGTCCACGGATCTCCGAAGGGTTGTTTTCCATAGGCGCCCGGGAACGTGATTTCCTCGATGTCGTTTAGGGTCGTTGGCGCGAAACAGTCGTCCACGCATTGAAATTGAAGGTGTCCCTTGTCTGCAGGACTCAGACGGCACCTCTGAATCTGTTTACAATAGACTCTGCTTACTTTCACCTTTGGTTTTCTGCCTTTACGACCTCTGACATGTGCTGTTTCCACTGGTTCGTTCGAAATTTCTTCAGGAACAATTCTCAACATATCAAATTGGATCGAATCGGGTCGCTGTTTCCCATGAATCTCGTTACTAGGGCGGAGTTGTCACTTACGTCAATGACCCTAAATGGTCCTGCCCAATCACCTGCTAAATTTGGGTGTGATTTCTTGGCTTTCTATTGGGAGACCAACACACGATCGCCCTTTTTGGGGTAAGTTCTGCCTTCGACTTTGTTTCCCTTATCGTTACATACTTTTCATCCCTTCCTGTATACGATCGTTGTACTCTCTTACTCGCTCGTGTGCTTCTCCGACCGCTTGAAGAATTTCGGTTTTGTACTCATGTAGCGCTTCGTCCACCATGTATCGACTTATGCCCGCATTTGGTATGATCTCTTTCATGATTTCTTCCATTAGATTGACAAATTCCCCTCCTTTGGTCCGACAAATCGTTTTAGGCCATCTACGACCCTCTGCAATCCACCTGACGAAAAGGGTCTTGGCAATAGTTTCTGCGGATTTGTCGGGCACTGGATATGCAGCTGCGTATTTCGTAAAGTGGTCGATTACTGTTACTGCATATCTATTTCCCTTCGACGTGGGACCTAACTCTAGGACGTCCACCCCTATTATCTCGTAGGGTTTCGAAGTTATGATGGGCTTAAGCGGCGGAACTAGCTTCTCCCGTGGATTGTGTACGAAACACTTTTGACACTCACTTGCCCATCTGTGGATATCCTGCGCCATCCCTGGCCAATAGACCCGCTTAGCCAAACTTTTTAGGACTTTCTTTCCGCTGAAATGGCCTGCGAAGGTGCCGCTATGGGTTTCTTGGAAAATTTCATAGCGATATGGTTTTGGAACTACATGCACCGCATTACCGCCTTCTAGGAACTTCTTCAATTCTCCATTCTCTAGCGCAAAATCTGCCACTCTTACTGGTCGCTTCTCTCCTGTCATTCTTAATTCCTGATCCCACTCTCCTTTTTCTACCAGTCGGATTAGTTTGCCGAATTGTGGATCCTTCCTCAATTCCCTCAACCATTTGGTCTCTTCCTCAGCAGCGACACGATTAACCACGGCTTCATTCAAACCCTCGAGTGATTCTGGCTCTAATGCCGCAGGAACACTTCGACTTAGCGCGTCCGCTACCACATTAGCCTTTCCTTTAACGTAGCGGATTTCGAGGTTGTACCTTTGCAATTCAAGTGACCACCTAAGCACTCTGGGCGATACGTTACTACGCCTGAATAGTGCCGTTAAAGGCTGGTGATCCGTCATTACTATCGTGGGGAGGCCATATATGAACATATGAAAACGCCGTACTGCGAAAACCACCGCTAGGGCCTCAAGGTCCGTTACGTGATACCTTCGTTCCGCCTTGCTCAAACTTTTTGATGCGAAAAAAATGGGATGGATTTGCTTATCTTCGCCTTCTTGGGAAAGCACTGCTCCTAACCCACATGTTGATGCGTCAGTGCATATGCAGAAGGGTCTACTCCCATTCCTTGCTGCTTCGACATCAGGTTGCTTGAGAACAGGTGCTGAGCAGATCATTTCTTTCACCTTCTGGAAGGCTTGCTCGTGCTCTTTTTCCCATTCCCACTTCTTTTTGGTGGAAGTCAAGTCGAAGAGACATCCTGCTTGTTTGGAAAAGCCCAGGCAGAACTTTCTGTAAAAAGACGCCATGCCTAAGAAACTTCGGAGCTGCTTGACACTTTGCGGAGTTGGGTAGTCTCTGATTGCGGCTATCTTTTCGGGATCCATGTGTACCCCCTCGCCGTCAATCATATGCCCGAGGAACGCTACTTTGTCCTTCAACAAATGACATTTTTTAGCCTTCAACCGCAATCCTGCCTTTTTTAGCCTAGAGAATACTTCGTCCAGTAGTTGAAGATGACGTTGCTTCGAATTTGTGCAAACCATTATGTCATCTATGTAACAGAAGACTTCGCTACCAAGAAGGTCTCCTAGAACAGTATTCATCAACCGTTGGAATACTGGAGGACTTGTGCTCAGTCCGAAAGGCGTCACTCTGAACTGGAAGAGTCCTTCTGGTGTGACGAAAGCTGACTTTTCTTTTGCATCGTCCGCTAGTGGAATCTGCCAGTAGCCGCTGCACAAGTCCAGTGTCGAAAAGAATCTTTTCCCCGAGAGACTTTGGAGAAGCGCTTCTATACTTGGCAGTGGGTACGCATCCAGTTTTATCTTTTTGTTGAGCTCTCTGTAGTCTACGCACAATCGGATTGAGCCATCCTTTCTTTTCTACAAGAACAATGGGAAACGCCCACTCTGATTTGCTGTGTTCTATAACTTTCCTTTCTAACAAGTCTGCTAGTAACTCCTTCAGTTTTGGTCTCAGCCCCAGTGGCACTGGTCTTGCTTTCATTTTTATCGGCGCACAGTCTCCCGTATCTATGGTCATTTTTACCAACTCAGTTTGGGATAGTTCCTTATCGGAAATCGAAAATGTATCTGAATACTTTTTCAGGAGGCCCCTCAGTTCTCCATCCAGTGCTAGAGATTCCGTGTTTGCTAACAGTAGTTCCTCCAGCTTTTCCACTCGCTCCTCTTCTGATAATACCTCATTAGCACCTTCATCGGATATGAGCGGGTTACAATCTTCCCAGCGCTCGTGCCACTTATCCGTTCCCCAATGTCCGATCTCTTCTCCTTCCTTCAGAAGTAGGGGTTCCATGCTGCTGTTGAACACCGGAATTGCCGTTTTCTGATCTTTGATGGCGTAAACTCCCAGTTCAACACCACGTTTGTTGGGCCATATTACCCTTTCTACCTCGCTTTTGGGATCACCTTCACACTTAACAGGCACTAGAGCTGAATCACAAGGGGGTACGTATAGCCTTTTCATAACTATGACTCTGTTTTCTTACTTTCCTCGTCTACTTTGGTATTCACCCTGCTTTTTGTGTCTATGGACACTTCTACGCCTAGCTTATTTAACGCGTTGGTTCCTATAATTACTTCTGCTTCTTTTGCGGGACTTATATGGAACGCTATCAACTCGGATCGCCCGCCTTCTGTTTCTACCTGGATGTATACGGCACCCATGAAATCCATTTCATTATTCGAGGCGTCAAACACCGGTTTCAGTTTTGACTTCGGCACAACCGATAAGGAGTCCACATCGAACCCCCGATCCTGCGCTCGAGCTACAATCTCTATGGGGATTATACTGATCATTGATCCCGTATCTACTAAAGCATTACATTGTTCTCCCAAAAATTTCAAAGGGATCACTATCTGACTTCCAATGAGGTCGGTTTTTCCAGCGCCTCTCCCTTGGGTTGTCATCCCCAGGCTACGACCTCTTTGTATCATGGACGACATTTTTGTCTCCCCATCTTCACTTTGAGTTTTCATCTGCGACGCACGGTTCACCCTTACTGCTCGTGATGGGCATTCCCGCGCAATATGTCCAAACCTTGAACACTGGTAACATTTTTTGCCTTGAGCTGGTTCTCGGTTATCCCGTTCACGTTTCGAGATCCTGTGGTTTGGAGTACTAGGGCTACTTATGCCTCTGGGACGAGGCCCTTGCACCTCACTTTCCGGGCCTTCCCAGTTTACTAGCCTCTCCATTGCGGGCGCCTCTGGTTTGCGCTCCCTGTTGCCTTGATACTGTGCATATCTGGTTTTCCATGCACGAGTGGTGCTCCTATTTTCCAATAACATCCTTTTTGATTGCTCTATGCTAATCGCTAACTGCTTTATTTCTTCGTACGCGTTATGGGGCTCTACCTTATGGAGCGCTCCCAGTAATTGGAAATGTTCCGGCCAGCTGCTTAATTATCCAGAAGAATTTGGGCATACTCCATCGACTGATCTTCTGGACTGCTTTCTGGATTCGCCTGCTTGCCTATTTTCTCGAGGACGACGCAGAATTCTGCCACCTCCTGCCCTGGCCTTATCCTTAAATTTTTCAGCTCGGTTAGAGCCCTCATTCGGCTCGCTGTGGAATCGCACGCTAAAAGTCTGGCCATTTCTTGGGTTACTGTCTCAAAACCTCTTTCCTTTGTTGCTCGTGGCAGTGAGGAAAATATGTTCTTAGCCCTTCCCGCTAAGTGATCGTCGGCTAATATCTCGACTAATGTTTCTTCACAGGTAATTACGTTTCATATTTCCTCCTAAATTTCCTAAGGAACTCTTGGAAATTTTCACCTTTTGACCCTTTATATACTCCCGGATCAGCACATGTCATGGCCCTTAGGTAGTTCACCAAATACATATTTGCATCCGTACCTGCGTCCACGTGTGCTGGAGTCGCTTCCGGGCTCCTTCCAAGCTTCTGCCAACTGTGCACATATTTCTGACCAATCGGATAATGTGCTTCCTGGAAGGAAATGTTCCGTGGCGCCTCGCCGGTAGTGTGAATTACAAATTCATGTTTCACTTGTTTACCATTTCCTGTATCAGGACCGTCTTCTTTGCCACTCCTGTTGCATTTTGCTTCAATGGTCTGCTTGAGCTGAAAAGCGTCTGTGTCAAACATTTCGCACAACTCGTTTATCAGCTCTCCATCTTTTTCTACCGTTTTTATATACTCCTCCCACTCTTCCTCCGACTCTATTCCTCTCTGTGTGAGTGTCTCTACGATTCCTACCATTAGACCCTCCGAAACTGCGGGGTGCTGTAGTATTTCCTCCACAAGTTTCTGGACTGCATCCACCACTATGATCCACTCTTTTTCTAGCCCTACTTTGAGTTCCTTGGCAATTTTTGCCTTACTCAGCATTGTTACCGCTCTCTGCTTTGCTTCTTGCACGACTCTCACGCACTCAGACCAACTTCTTCTTTGGTTACTTTGTTTGCCGTCAGAATTACTCACCTCTGGAGGTGCCTTCTGCTCCTGATCCTCCATGAGTACATCATTGGCCTCTTCGGCATTCATACTTGGCTGGTTTGGAGATGGTCGTTCCCTTAACACGACCATGTTAGACTGTGATTCGGTATCTTCCTACCGTATCACCTAGATCTAAGAGTGTTCTTTCTTTGCACTCTAACCGTTGAACCTTACTGACACCTTCCTTCTTCGGTGGTCAGTAAGAATACTTTCGTAATTTCGACCCAAGGTCGCTTCTCCGATATGTTTCTGTCCAGCAAATAAGAATAGTCCGAATCCTTTAGTTTGGTTCGGCCCCCATGTAAGGTATTGTCCCCCGGAAAAAAAGGATGCGTGTCGGATTCGAGTCTATCCTTTTGCCACAACAGAACAGCCTTCAAAACTCAACGTTTATTAAGAACAAAAAAAAGGAACGCAACTAACGAGCAATGTGTGACTTCTTTGTTGACGAGGAGAAGCGGTTGCGGTGGCGACTGCGGCAACAGTGGCGACGATGGCAACCGATGGCTATGGTGGCGACGATGGCGGAGGGGATGGCGATGACGGTGACGGCGCGGACGGTGACGGCGCGGACGGTGACGGAGGCGACGATGGAGGCGACGGTGGTGGCGGCGACGGTGGTGGCGGCGAGGCTGGTGGCGGCGACGGCGGTGGAGACGAGGCGGTGGAGGCGACGACGGTGGAGGCGTGAGGAGAAGAAGAACTTGGCTCTTCAGAATCTCCGGGCCTTTTATACGGGGAGGAGGTCATGGACTACGGTGATCGGGCGGGTGGTTACGATCAAACCACCCGCACCGTACCGTGCCCCTCTCGCGGGTGATCTAACGGCCGCCCCGCTTTAGCATGATCTTCTTTTGAGCGGCCGCTCGCCCATGACCTGCTCCCCTCTCCTGTCCCTCTTCAACACGCAAGCTCTTGCAAGTTTGAAGACATGAAGTACTAACAGTCCCAAATCCCAGTCATCTGTAACCGAAAAAGGATGGTAAAACGACAAATGTTCTCGGAATACCTCGAACCTTTGTATGAATATGAAAGGGCTGATCTTCCTCTATAAGATGACACCCAAGTTGTTTGAATAGTTGCGAAAGAAACTACAAAAAATGCAGGGAACACTCGAGGTGCAAAACGGCGGATATTTTTCGACCGACCTAATATTTATGGCTAGTTTAAACTTCCCATTGATGTTCTTGCCATTCATGCACGCATTAGGTTTCCCATTGGTTCAGTCTAATGACCTTGCCGTAGGTGACTAACTCGAGCCTCATTTGCCATCACAATTAACAACCCGATGTTGTTTAGCTTGTCATGCGTGGACAGATTATCTCTTTTCAGTTGCAAATGTATACCGGGAACTTCAGGGACGCTTTGCGAATACGTCTATGACTACTGCGAAGCAATTGGTGAGCTGCTAATGTAACACAATATTCATTCTTGAACTGAGCGACTGCGGAACTGGCTGTTTGCTTTGAATTCATTTTGAAGGGAATGAGTGGAACCCTTCTAATTTTTTCAATTACTTGTTGCATTAAACTGAATGCAATCAAAATCACTTGTTAATATCATCGTTTTTCACCGCGATCAAACGGAAGGGCTGTTTGCGCCATTCCATTTGATCACGCCGCTCCTCTGGGACGGTAGTAATCTACCCTGAACTGGCTGCTAAAAATACCAGTCACATGCCTGTAAACGAGAAAGAGCGATTCTGAAGTTAGAGTTGGAAGGTAACCAGATTTGAAACGCGCAACTTCGCGACATCGTAAGCAAAACTTCGTCCCTCCACGAGACCGAACCCAGACATGCGCAGCTGAACCGCTATCGTTGCCACTGCACCACGGAGCAGTAACACTTGAGCAGTGAAAGGGTTGCAGAGTAAAAGGAATAGAATACGAAGGTTGCAAACCTTTAGACTTATCGTATCATTGATCCCGCGACTGATCCAACACCAACGTAGACCGCAGGCGCTACACCACTGACGAATCAATGCAAGGTGCCACAGGGTCAACCGTCACGTTCGAACATTTTCAGGGTTTTTGCGACCCCCTTTTCTCAAGGGGGTCACCCCCTTATCTCAAGGGGGTCCAGTTGCGACCCCCTCTTAGGTAATGGAAGTGCCGAATGTGCTGACTAAATGTTAAGTGAAATATTTATTTCACTCATTTTACTTCAAAGACAGTGAACTAAAACCTTTTAAAGACAATGAACTTCCATGACATAGAACAAAACATTTGAATATTGAATTCTTCACTGGCATTTGAATTGAATTCTTTTCAAATGTTCAGTAAAGAATTCAATATTCAAATGTTGTGTTCGTAAGTTCGTAAGTTCATTGTTTTCAAATGGACAATGAACTTCCATGAAATATGAACGAAACATTTGAATATTGAATTCACTGGCATTTAAATTGAATTCTTTTCAAAAAATCATTGAATTTCTG